CTGAAGCTGTTTGTGTTAAGAGTTTAATGAAAATGCTTGGTTTATTGTGGCACATTGTATGTGTGAATTATAGGTGTGCACAGTGCCAAACAAATGGAGCGTGCTGCTGCATCCACTTCCTGGGGACTCTTGCACACACAGCCTGGGAGCAGCATCAGGTCGGGATCCAAGCAAACGCAGCCCAAACTGCTGAGTCAGTGCATGTGATCTTCAGGATCACAACTTTCTTGTGGTGGAATCATAGAATGAATCATAGAATGGCCTGGGTTGCAAAGGAGCACAGTGCTCATCCAGTTCCAACCCCCTGCTGTGTGCAGGTCACCAACCAGCAGCCCAGGCTGCCCAGAGCCACATCCAGCCTGGCCTTGAATGCCTGCAGGGATGGGGCATCCACAGCCTCCTTGGGCAACCTGTACCAGTGCCTCACCACCCTCTGGGGGAAAACCTTCCTCCTAATATCCAACCTAAACCTCCCCTGTCTCAGTTTAAAACCATCCCCCCTTGTCCTCTCACTACTCGCCGTCACAAACAGTTGTTCCCCCTCCTGTCTGTGTGCACCCTTCAAGTACTGGAAGGCCACAGTGAGGTCTCCCCAGAGCCTTCTTGGTGGAAACTTGGTTTGTAGGGTTTGAAATGTTTGAGGGCTTAAATAAATGGGAGTTTGTAATTGAAAGGGTGAGTGCCAGCACCAACATCAGCAGGGGAGGGGTGGCACAGCTCAGCTGATCCTGCCCTCCCCCCCGGACACTTGCAGCACATGAAACACCTTCCTTCCCCTTCCCCTGCTTTTTTAACAGAAACACGCAGCCATTTTCATTACTACAGCTCTTGTTGCATAAAGCAGGGGGATTTTCTTCAGGGAGTGAAGAATTGATTCTGAGGTTTCCATTAACTCACGTTAGCACAGCACGGCCGCTTTCAAGGGCCTGATGTTGACAGCTAGCATACTGCAGAAGAAACAGGGTGTTGTCAGTGCCCAAATTCGGTGGAGTTAAGCCAGACCAGCTCCATTCAGGGAGTGCAGGAGGTCAGTGGGATCCAAATGGCATCGCACAGGGTTTGCTGGGAGGGTTCTCATTGAAACATCAGCGTCAGGGTGGATCTGAAAGCACAGTCATTCCTGGTACCACGCAGTGCTCGTGGCAGGGCAACGTTTTGCTTTGTGTTCCCATGGCTCAGGGAGCAGGAGCTCACATGGAGCTGTATGACTGATACTGCGATTATGTGGTTGCACCTTGGCACCACGGTAATTGTGCTAGACAGAGCTGTTTAAATACCACCAGACAGAGTATTACTCACATGAAAATGGGGCCCTAAATGTCATTATTTGTGTCATTATTAATAGCCCCTAATTGTGTTCTCTAATCATCGTGAAATTATGTTAGTATTAATATTCACATCAAAACTGCCTAGGGAACGAGAAGAACTACTTAAAAAAATAATCCCACCATATGTCAATCCCCATTAACGTGAAACACTTGCCTTTTGCATCTATGAGATAGAGAGCAGTGCGGGGGATTTCTCTGCACCTCCAGCTCCTGGAAAATGCTCTGCACCACGAGGTCCCAAGGATCTGCAAACTCCTGCAGAGACATGCACTGTATAAAACTCTGCTGCTGCTTCAAAAGGATTTTTATTCTGCTGGACAGAGGCTCCTATCAGTCCATCAGAGGGAGCAAAGGGTGGGATGAGGTGTTGTGGGTGCCCCATCCCTGCAGGCATGCAAGGCCAGGTGGGATGGGGCCCTGGGCAGCCTGAGATGATGGGGTGCAGCCCTGCCCATGGCCAGGGGTGGCACTGGGTGGGATTTGAGGTCCCCTCCAACCTGAGCCGTTCTATGATTTTATGATCACTGCTCAGTCACGATATGCACAGGAGCGTGGGAGAGTGAACTCATCATGGAGCAAGGCAGTGGGAAGCTGAATTTTCTGTTAACCATGCAGAGATCTGAAAGATGCAGGAATGTTGCAATAGTTTGTAACACTGCTGAGTTACTTTATTTTTCCTTTATGAAGTTCAATCTTCACTCCTTTCAGTGTCTAAAGAGGAGCTATAAGAAAGAAGGGGACAGAATTTCTAACGGGGTCTGTTGCGATAGGAGATGCAGAAATGGCTTCAGACCACAAGAGGGGAGATTGAGGTGGAGCTGAGGAAGAAGGTTTGGCAGTGAGGGCGGTGAGGCGCTGGCACAGGTTGCCCAGAGAGGCGGTGGTGCCCCGTCCCTGCAGACAGCCAAGGTCAGGCTGGACGGGGCTGTGAGCACTGCTGAGCTGTGGGTGTCCCTGTGCGCTGCAGGGAGCGGCACCAGGCGGCCTTCAGCTCCCTTCCACCCAAACCATTCTGTGATTTACGCTGTATTTTTACCAGCGTGAAAATCCACCTGTTAGAATGATAACAGCACAAGCCCACTGACGAGGTATTTGGAAAAAGCTTCCCAAAGGCATCAGTTTTAGGGGATGCCACTGAAGAACTGAAATCTGGGGATGTTAAGGACATTTGGCACCCTGTGCAATCATTGCAATTACTGCAGCTCTTCCTCTGAGGCAGCATTTTTAGAAGCCCCATTCTAGCAGGTGATGTGCCCCACACATGGCAGATAGCAGCAGAGCTCCAGAGCCTCAGCCTGGGAGATGGGAGGTGCTGGATGGATGGAGTAATGGCCAGGTGGCAGAGAATTATTTTTCTGGACAAAAAATAAATATAAAATATATTTATAAATATATATATTTATATATATATATATATTATATTATAAATATTATATATTTATATATATATATATTTATAAATATTTATAAATATATATATATATACATACATACATACATATATATATATATAAAAATCACTTTCTCCACAACTTTCTGCTTTTCCAACTAGTTCTACTTACAAGTACCCAAATGCCTTACTTAATAAAACAGAGAGGTTTCTAAGTGCCAAACTATTACGGCTCGAGTTAAATATAACTCAGAGCATTAAAAATAACTTCAGAGTGCAGACACAGGGAGCCGACAGGAGGTGGGTTTGGAGAGCAGCTCCGACGCTCACGTTCTCTCTGGGATTTGGGACCCAGCGTTGCTCTGTGCCGTGCGGTACCCGGGGTGCGGGGAAAGAAGTCGAGCAGGTATCTGACACTTTGATGTGAACGATTTCCCTATAAAATATTAATGACGTATATATAATCTAATTGCTTCCTTAGGGCAATAACCTCTGACAAAATGGCCCTGATTAGAAGATAATTGAGTGTGTTGAATTGCGTCCTAAGAGAGCTTAATGTTGACAAGGTCCATTATCTTGTGATAATGACCCCCTTTTGTCAGGTGTTAGTGCCATTTAGGAGACGCTCCGGTCGGAATAAATCCTTCCCTTTACCTCTTTTGTCTAATTACGCGGATTATTTTACAAATCAAAGCAAACTTTTGCCTCCTGGGCAGGCCTTGGGCTGGAGGGGAGCGACAGAGCGGGTGGGCAGAGCTCCTGAGAGCTCCGCGTTTAGTGTTGCTGCTGGAGATGCGCATCCCAAAGGTCGGGATATAAAGCAGGGAGAGACCCCAGCTGTGTTCTTCCCCTCGGCAGCTTCTTCCTAGAGGGTTCGGAACTTGCTGCCTGGAAATACGCTCTCCTTGCAGCGGGGTTTAGCCAAACGCACGCGCTGACGGCAGGGAGGCGTCGGGCGAGGACGCTCGCTTCTCGCCTCGTGTGCGAGATGAAGACGTCTGCGGTCATTTGCATGGAAAGGATGCCGTTCAATCTCAGGAGCTTGCCTTCCCTCCCTGCTCAGGCATGTATTGTAACTATTGTTGTACAACGGGGTGCTTCTGCCTTTGTCGTAATGAGTGTGAGAGGGTATCTAAATGCAAATTCCCCCCCTGTCACTTCCTAACTCGGTAATTCTGGATGCAAGGGCTGTTTCCCAGCGCTTGGCTCTGAACGTAGCTGGGGAGGATCTTGTGCACAGAAAGACGCCCAGAAATCTGCCCTCAAAGCCCAGAGCTCCTTTCAGTCTGGGTAAAGTCTCCCCATCCCAGCTCACTGCACGCAGCTCACCAGCTGAGCCGGATTTTCTCTTCCAACTTGAGTGAATTTTAGATTGTGCGTTCTGCAAAGGTTTGGCGGATGGGGGGAATGGACAGGAAACCCAAGAGCTGACCCTGGGTGAGGTGCATGAGCACAAAGCAGAGGAGCTGCTGTTTTCCCCTGAAAACAAATGCCTCCCGTGCTCTCTCTCAGACATGCACGTATATGGACCTTCAAGAAAGCATTAATGTAAAACACCATTGATTTCAATTTATATTAATACACTGTGCAGTGAACTGAGATGGCTGATTCACAGTCCTCATCAGATTTCACTGTGCTGGGTAAATCAGATCCCTTGGTTCACTGTAGTTTAATTATAAGCAAATTGTAAGTGAATTAAGATAAATCGAATTAGAACCACTCTAATACTGAATAAAAACACCCACAAAGGAGTTTGCTAGGGTTTAGCTAATCCGCTTTGAGAGCTAATGGGGATTCATTGGCCTGGGTGTCCCTGCATGGAGAAGTGCTGATGCCAGGGCTGGGTCCTCTCGGCACCTAAAGGGGCTGAGAAAGAAGGGGACAGACTTTTTAGCTGGGTCTGTGTGATAGGAGATGCAGAAATGACTTCAGATGACAAGAGGGGAGATCGAGACTGGAGCTGAGGAAGAAGGTTTGGCAGTGAGGGCGGTGAGGCGCTGGCACAGGTTGCCCAGAGAGGCGGTGGTGCCCCGTCCCTGCAGACAGCCAAGGTCAGGCTGGACGGGGCTGTGAGCACTGCTGAGCTGTGGGTGTCCCTGTGCGCTGCAGGGAGCGGCACCAGGCGGCCTTCAGCTCCCTTCCACCCAAACCATTCTGTGATTCCATGGCCATGGCCTCAATGGAGTACAGAGTTCATCACTGACCAAATAAACCACAAGCGGCCAGATGAACTGTTATTGGGCAGATCGTTGGCCAAATAAACTGCTGTTGAATGGGTAAACCATCAGTCAGATATCTCCACTTGTCCCCATCCTCACCAGGGAAGGGCTGTTCTGCTTTAACAGTGGCAGCCACTGGGGAGATGGAGAACAGACCCTGAGTGTTGCAAATTAGGTTGAAAGTCTGGAGAAGAGGAGCTGGAACCGACTGATGAGGCGCAAATTGGAAGCTGGGGTGGATCTTTCTTCTTTTTTTTTTTTTTTTCCTTTTTTTTTCCTCCCAGGGAAGTGTCATTTGTACAAATTGCCAGTTCGTGCCAGCTTGGGAGAGACCTCACAAGGGAAACCTGGAGCCTTCCCTGCTTTTCATGTGAGCGGATGCCCCTTTTATTTCTGAGCAAGGAGTAAGTGGAGAAGAAAGGAGTCCCTGTCAGCCTCACGGAGACAAATTGCTTCCTGCAGCAGAGGTGGCTCGGCGCTAACAACCACCCACTGCCAGAGGTGAGCCGAGGTGCCCCCACCAGCCCCTCCTCCTGCATGCCCACCCCTCCAACCGCGGGCTTTTCAATGCAGCCCGGCTCAGTAACCAACCGTCCCTTTCATTTTTATCTGGCCAGAATGATTTACTGGGCCGACGTGTGAAAGTGCACGGGACTCTGCTGCTCTGGTGGCAGAAAATACCTTCCTGCCTAAACGAAATGACCCTCCCAACGTGCAGGGTTAAAGACAGATGTGGTGCTCTTGTTCCCTGCCTCTTCTACATCAGATGGGCTCTTATCTCCCCACGTGCTCTCCTCTTTGGGAGGAGGTGGGCAGAACAGCCGCCAGAGGACTGCGAGCCCTAAAGTTATTAAAACAGTGCAGGCAACAAAGCAGTGTGGATTCCCTGCAGCTCTGACATTTCCAGAGGGTGAAAGGTAAAAATGCAGGGAGGCTATGTAGAAAACATCGGGCAGTGCTTTTTTGGTTTCTGCCTGAGCTCTGAAAGCAGCTAATTAAATGGGAGGGAGTGATCCACAAAGCAAGTTCCAGGCCAGCCAATAAAAGCAGTGGCCAATGGAGAATGGCTGTCGGGGCTGTGTGTGGATGAAGGCTTCTCCCACTGGGGAATGGCTTGGGGAATGGTTGGGAGTGTGTCTTGCACACAACCAAATGGCTCCATTCACAGCTCCTTGTCATTCACCCTAACTCAGACCCCAAGGCTGGGAGCCAAATGGCACAGAAAGGTTCAACTAATCACAGATAAGCACCAGGAAATGGCACACTCCTGGATGACCATCCCATATTACTCGTTCATCCACAGAGCTCTACAGTTCCTGCCCCATCCCAGTGATGCTCTGGGCTCCCTGCCCTCGTCCTGCAGCAGCCCGTAGGGATGCAGCAGCTGCAGCTGGCACAGTGCTGTGTCCCCAGCCAGCAAGGGACATGGTGGCATTAGGCACTGCAATGCTTTGGATCTGTGCTCCCAGCAGACAGAAATGATCCCCTGATCTGATTGATCTCGTGTCGGCCATGTGTCTGCCCACGCCCCATCGCTAATGGCCTCATTAGTTAGGGAAAAGGGGTTGCTGAAGTCAATTTATAATATGTAATAGTGAAAAACAGCCGAATCGATATCTCTGCAGAGTTAGGGGGAGATCAGGGGAGGGACAGGGCCCAGGGGCGAGTTCTGATAACTGATGAGCTTAAAAACTCTGCTCACAGCATCTGTACTTGTGTTAAATACATAATCGGGAGCGCTCCATCCTGATTAGCCAGCAAGGCAGTCAGCACTTACCGCTGCCTCTCCTCTCCCAGGGCTGTGAGCAAGTGGAGCTCCTTGTCCTTCCATGGGACCAGGCTGGCATGTCACTGTCACCGCATGCCACTGCCACTGCGTGCCACCACTCCTCTGCTCCCTGCAGCTCCATCGGTGCGGATGAGACGGCAGCTCAGTGGCTCTACCTGCGCCCATGCTGGGGAGAGAAAAACCTGATTTAAGTGGCTCACAAATGTGTGGGTTAAAGGCGCGCTGCTGCAAAGGCAACATGTTGAGAGCTGGAGCCAGATGGATGTGGATGAGCAGCGCAGTGAAAATTATCAACCGCAGGAACAGCGGGGGATTCCCTGCTCCGGGGAGACGTGAAATCAGGGACAGATTTGCTCTCTTGCAGCATGCCCTGGGTCACACAGGAGTTAATCCAGAGCAGTTGCGATTACGGATTGTGCACTGAGGGATCCTAAACGCTCCCTCTGATCCATGATCCAAAACCACAGCCCCCAGCCACACAGCCCTCTGTGAAGCCTCTTGCCAAAGACCTCCATTTAGCGGTAATTCCCTTTATAGCTTATTTTTGCCATGCGGCTGCACACCCCATTGTTTACCCGAGCACACAAGTCCCTGGCTCTTCTCCGTTCCATTCTCTCTCAGCTGGCTGCCATCGAGCTGATTTCCCCCTCCTCCTGTGCTCTGCCACAGAGCCTAAATCGACACATCTGTTTTCAAAGAGAGGAGCAGTCCCATCATCCTCACTTTCAGCGCTGCACATCCAACTCCTGCAGCCTCCATAGGGCTGCCGTCACCGTGTTGGTATAGGGCCTACAGAAAACGGGAGTGGGAAAACAACAGTAGAACATCACATGTTTGGTTTGGGTTTTTTTTCTTTTTTTCTCTTTTTTTTTTTTTTTTTTTTTGAGCATCAGGTTTCCTTCATTGCAGCAGCAATAAGATGTTTCCAGCTTCTTTCTGTCTTCTGATTGCGCTGAGAGCATCCTGCAGAGCAGAGCGTTCGCTCGCAGCCACAACCAGCGCTGAAGGGCTCAGAGCCAGCAGTGAGCTGGCTGCTCAAGTGCAGAGCAGACTTGGCTAAGGAGGGAATGGACTGATATGCCCCCAAATGTCAGCCCTGGCTCCTCACCAGCAAATCATCCTTCAGCTTGCGTGTGTTTTGCACTTAGGGCAAACCAACGTTTAGATGGAAAGTGGGTCAGCATGAATGCTTTGCAAAGGGGAGATGAAGACCTGGAGGGGTTTCATCCATCCCACATCCAGAAGAGCTCCTGGCCAGGTCCGTCCTGCTTGAGGACATCATTCCCTGCCCATTAGCTATGTTAATGAATCTGCATCCCCAGCACCCTGCTGGTTCATGCCCCTTGTTGCCATCTCCCCTTTCTCTTGCCGTTCTTTTTCCCCATTAGAAATTTTGCATTTCTAGCCTGCTTGTCATATTTCCTACCGGATTGGGTGTTTAATTAAAATCATAATTAAAATTGATCTCCTCATTAGCATGCACCTGCTCTACTGCTCGCGTCCTGGCATTTAATTATACGCTGAAGATGTCAAGTCTGACAGGCGAGAACGAGACCCGGCCAGCAACCCCTGACAGGACTTCTTGGTGACAACATCTGGGCAGCGGGGACCCATCTGCTGGCACAGCCGGGCAGCAGGACATGGTGCTGGAATGCTGGCAGGGCTGCCATTGGTTTTGCTGGGGTTACCTTTCTATTTTAATAGCAGGATAGTCACCCACACTTCCTACTGGAAGCTTCCTAAGCCAAGAGCTGGGTGGTGAGGATGGAGATTAAGTGGACACTGAGCCCCCCGTGCCCATGCTGGTCAGGATACGGTGCCTAGAGAGTTGTGCCATCCCTTATGCCATCAACACATGACCCTCAAGATTTCCACCGTGGACATGCACAGCTTTCTCTCCTCTTCTTGCTCACCAAACTCTATCAAAAGCCAAAAAGGGGATCCCTGCACCCCTCCAAAAAGGTCCAGTAGCATGTGGTGCTTCCACTGTCCTGGTGGAAATAGGGCCGCCCCTTTGGGTAGTTATCAAAGAGATTATCAGAATGGTTTCTGTGCACAGCAGAAGCTTAAATCGCATCTGCTCTTTTTCTGTACATGCCAGGCAATAAAGCTGCCAAAAGGCATTTTTGGGGCCATTATAAACGAGGAGTTTTATTCCCCTGCACTTTCAGAGTCTCTAACTGATGGATGAAGTTTCAGTGGGACTCATGAAACGATGACAGCTGACGCCAAGCAGACCCACCAGCTCCAGCATCCCTGGGAGGGCTCAGTGGGAGCTGAAGGTATTTGGGGCTCCTTCTCCCTTTCCTTTTCCCCTTCCCAAGCACCAAGACCCACAGCCCGCAGCTGTTGAGACTCCAGCCCCAGTGTTCTGCAGTATGTAATTGACGGCACTCATCAAAATAGCTTCTAATAAAGAGTGAGGGTGGGAAGACTTTTAAATCTCCCCTCAGTCACTCTCACTGTAAGTGATGCTCATCGTTTATCCCCAGCCAGGACCAGCTGATAATGCTGAGCAACGTGCTCGCATGTATCAGGGAGAGATGATGTGGAAACAATACCTTAAGGTGCTGTTGCCCTTCCGTTTTTATGGCTTCTTATGAGGCTGGGGCCATCAAATGCCAGACACAGAGACCTTCGTGCAGCAAGAAGCAGAGCCGGCTGGAGCTGAGGCTGCAGCTTTATGGCATCTCAACACCAAAGCTGTGGAGGGTATTTTGTTTGAGCGGGGAGCACTGGGGATGTTGTAGGCACACGGGGGCCTTTGCTGGAACAAGTTGTTTGCGTGAAGTGTCACATGTGGCCAGAGCCTGGAAAACAGATGTTCCCATTTTTCTTTAAGGACGCTGTTAGCAGTAGAGGACTTTAACAGTAACAAACACTTCAATTAAAAAATATATATTAAAAGCAACAATCCAACCAGTAATAACCATTTGACTACTCCTTAGAAAGACAGCGAGTCCCATTAATCATAAATAAGGCAGTTGAACATTATGAAGAAAAATACACAACCATTAATAGCCAGACACCAATACAGCATCCCATTGGGGAACATTATTTACGAGGCTATATTGTTATCAATCCTGCTGGGAAAAATTCTGTTGCACGAAATGAGATACAGGAAGACTGCAGTTTATGTGGGATGGAGTAGGGGTTCGTCAGTCAGAGCCAGCAGCGAACGTCGATGGTGATGTACGTTGGCTGAGGATGAGGCTCTAATACTCACTCTGCGAGGCAACGGAGTAGGGTTGTTCTGCCAGATCCTGGGGTGCTTCATTTGTGCAAATTCTCAATGATTTTAATGAGATTTTGCATGAGTAATAATTCATCAGCCTTGAGTAGAGGCCAGGGAGGAATTAAATGTGGGCATTTGCAAGGTTGCCGAGCTGGAGAGGGGGTGATATTGTGAAAGGCCATGTGCTCAAGAGCACAGAAGAGCAGAACCAGCCTGGAGCAGTGGAACAGGGAGGACTGGAGGCAAGAGTGAAAAATGGAGCCTAAATAAACATTTGTCATTTGATTTCTAATTACACAATTACGTAAATGTATGATATTAGTAGTCAAGAGCCTGGAGTTTTCCATAAAGAGTCCCTAAAGTAAATAAACGTTTTTGAGCAATTACATCCGTGGGATGAAATTTTTAAAACCAAAATCTTAAGACAAGTGCAGAAGGCAAGAAGGAAACCTGGGGGAAGCAACCAGAGAGATGAGATGGGTGCCAGGGCATGGGATGGCGGGGAGCTCAATACCTGCAGAGTAATTAGTGCAGATCAGTGGTATGAAAGGACACTGCCACCTAATTACAACAGAGATTAGCTTGAAGATGCCACGCAAGGGCATCAGTCACAATGAAAGCACGGAATATAAAGAAATAAATGTATGTGTAAAAACAAGCAAAAACAACAGCCAAGAACAAAACCCAGGCCTCACATTAACATTCGATAATTAAATATTTATCAGAGCTGAGGAAGTAAAATCCATTTACTGTTTTGGGCGAGTGGCAATCTTTCTTTTAAAAACCCTTTTGCCATTAGTTCCTTCCTTCCTCAGAGATGGGGCCACTGAAATAGTCTTCAAGTCTGTCTCGAACAAATTGCAGAACATTTTCCTGTCTGATTGGTATGTGCGTGCACAAGTGTTTCAAAGAACTTTCTTTCTTTAGCTCAGATCTTCACGCTGAGTGTCCTTAATGACTGGTTGCTATGGGTTCTGCAGGCTGGAGGAATCACTTCGTTAATGCTTACCATTAACCCGGGGATTATCATAAGGATGATTCCTGGCTTGTATCAGAAATAGTGTTGCCAGCAGGAGCAGGGAAGTGATCATCCCTCTGCGCTCAGCTCTAGTGATGCTGCACCTCAGCTCTGGTGCTCGGCGTTGGGCCCCTCGCTGCAATGCAGGCGTGGAGGCTGGGAGCGTGCAGAGAAGGGAACGGAGCTGTGAGGGGTCTGGAGCACAATGGGGTGCGATGGGGAGCGGCTGAGGGAGCTGGGATTGTTCAGTGTGGAGAAGAGGAGCTCAGGGGAAACCTCACTGCTTTCTACAACTCCCTGAAAGGAGGTTGGGTCAGCCTCTTCTCCCATGTATCTAGCGATAGGGCAAAAGGGAATGGCCTCGTGTTGCACCAGGGGAGGTTCAGGTTGGACATGGGTTAAGATTTCTTCTCCAAAAGAACGGTTGGACCCTGGAACAGACTGCCTGGGGAGGTGGTGGAGTCACTGGCCCTGGAGGTGTTCAAGAAACGTTTAGAGGTGGTACTGAAGGACGTGGTTTAGTGGGGAAATATTGGTGAAAGGTGGACAGTTGAACTGGATGATCTTGGAGGTCTCTTCCAACCTGAATGTTCTATGATGGCTTCCTATATTTTCTTTATCCTTGGTAAGGGATACAAATTGCTGCACCTAAGCAAGACAAATTCACCTAAGTTCCTTCTGTTCAGTTTTGGGGTGAGCTCTGCTTTGATCACTCCCATTTGATTTCTGAGATCCATAGTCAGGACACAGCTCTGCTGACATCCGTCACGTTGGGCACTGCACAGGAGCACAGGCACTGCTGGGTGGGATGAGGGCTGCCCAGGGGTCTGCACCTCTGCAGCACCGTGGGACAAGGATGTGGGATGGCAATGAGAGGCAGTGCCTGGCAAATGGCACAGCAGTGCTGGGAGAGCCACTGCTTCCTCACCATTCTCTAAAAGCCAGGACATGGAGTGTTGTTATGAAATTTCACATCTGAGATAATTGCATTAAGGTAATTGCCACTACAGCATTATTTTCCGTTCCTGGGAGAGAATGAGAGGAGGGCTGAGAGTATTGTGTCTGCGTTAGCAGATTAATAATTACAGCCCTTTGGAACATTGCTAGTTTGTATAGATTCACAGCTGCTGGCTCATTACGAGGCAAAGTTGAAGATACCCTATAGGAGCAATATATGGCTTTCTGCACAGTTTGTCTCTGCTGCTGCTTGGTTGTTTTCTCTATACTTCCATCAGCTTCCCAGCTTGTTAGAAACAGGAGACATTTACTACCTGAAGAAACCAACAGTTGGAATAGTACAGAATGGCAAAACACCATCAAGGTTTACCTGGCCAACCTGCATGGAAGGAAATATTCAGTCTGACACCATATCAGACCAGTCCCATCCTTCAGAGGAGCTGCTTCTTGTGCACAAGGTAACTAAACCTCCAATACCTCCCGTGAAGGATGAGATGTATGAACACATTCCTGTGCTGCTGAAATGCAGCCACACCATAGCCACTGTTGATTTGCTTTTAAGAAATGGAGGAGAGGAAACAGAAGACTCCCATTGCCCATAGGAGGGGATGAATAATTTAGGATGCAACCAGAGTGGGTAAACTCATAATTGCAACAAAGATAACACAAGGACTCTGATCATCACACAGCACAAGGGAATGTCAGTTTTATATCCCATCTAATAGAGCGCATCCCCAGCCACAAATAGGAGCAGCCTAGTGTGAATTCAAGGCAAACCTGGAAAAGGACAATGACTGTGTGCAGAAGCTGCTGCTCTCTTTAGCTCAGCCGCCTGATTAGAGTGAATTGAAAAATAAAAGCATAAATTGTGAAAAGAAAATTAGATTGATAAATTGATTTCAATTTTCACAATCTGGGATGTAACACAGCAAAGAATTCATCTGAAAGCTAAGAACTCTGTCTTCCCTAATGGCGTCTCTTTCACGTATTGATTAATGTCTATATAAAGCATACCATCTAATTTAGGGCACAGTAAAACAATATTCTATTTCTTCTGCACAGCATCTTAAGGGATTTAACTTAGAATGTTAGCATACAGCAAGAATCTGTCATTGCTCTGTATGGCAGAGCACGGAGAAGCGATGCAGGGAGGTCAGCAACAAGTGGGGAGTACAGACCTGAATATGGGTCTGCACACACACCCATCACAGCTTTTCCCTTTGGGGAAGAACACGGGGCTGGTTGGAGCATCTCCAAGGCTG